ACATGTTGTAGCACAAGATAATTAGTGTGCGGACCATTTTCATTTATATAGTGCTCTGTGAACACAAATTAGTTAGCATGAACCAGTTAAGTGACGAAAAATTAGGTGTCTATTTACTTGTGACCACTCAGTGTATATAGAAATATATCTGAATAATTCTATGTACATGTATAATGAATTAGCTCAATTATATAATACATACAATGAGAATTGTATCTGTATAAATTAAACTAGTTAAGTATTTCACTTCATCGAGATATACTAAATATAAAAGTGACTTTAACTAAGGATAACTTTGATTTTCTACTGTTACTAGCAAACCCGAGGGCCTATGGCCAACATTTACAAGGCCGCTATAATGCAAGTTTAATGCTTGAATTACTATTTTGCACTTTTTTCAGTTTAATGATCATTACTAGTATAATGCAAATTAGTAAGGCCTATTTACTTATGTGCTCTGATGTAAATCAATGTGAAGTTTGGGATCCACTTTCAGGGAATCCCCCTAAAAGTGTTTTCAGGAAATACCATGTTCCCTAAGAGGTTGGGTGGAAAGTTTTACATTTTTGCAAACTTCAGGGCTAAGATGATTTGTTTGGCACCACTTAGAAATCGGCGAGTCTAGCAGTTTAGAAGAGGTTTTCAGGAAATCCCTGGGTTCCCCAAGTGGGGGGATTTTCCCTTTGTATAAACCTAAGGACCGAGACAATTTGTTTGGTACCACTTAGAAGTTGGTGCAACCAGCTGTTTAGGAGTTATGTGACACACAGACAATCTTGAACTACTGTTTTTCACTTTAATGATCATTGCCACTATAATGCAAGGTTAATTTCTTTAACCTAGTTATGAACGGTAATTATTAAGCCTACGTAGTTACATGCTCTAATGTAATTCTATGCTAAATTTGGAGTCTGCTTTCAGAGAATCCCTATAAAAGTGTTTTTGTGAAATACCTGAGTTTCCTAAGGGGTTGGGTGAAAAGTTTTACCTTTGTGCAAACCTCTGGGCCAAGATGATTCATTTTGCACCATTTAGAAGTTAGTGAGTCTAGCAGTTTAAGAGGAGGTTTAGAGGAAATCCCTGGGTTCCCCAAGGGGTGAGGTGAAAACTTTTACCTTCATGCAAACCTCGGGGCTGAGTCAGTGCGATCAGCAGTTTAGAAGGAGTTACGTGATGCACACACACACACACACACACACTGAATCATATTGTATAGATGTTTGCCAACATTACACACTTTTATTGCCACTTTTGAAGCTTATACATAATGATTCCTAGTCACTCATAGTCAAAAAACGTATAATTCTTGACATATTTCAACAGGTATAAATATATGGTGATGAAATTATAGCTTATTCCAAGATGTGTCTATAAATCTGTTATGTATAACACATCATTTACTTTCAGATTTGTTCCTGTGGTAGTTACAGGGTTAAGAGGAGAAGGAAGCAAGGTATTGGTTTCTACTGGTGGAGCATCACTCATTCCAGCCAACGAAGAGGTTACATTGCGTTTATTTGGAGTAAACTTTACAAAGCACATTGCTATAGCTTTTACAACTGTTAAACAACCAAAAGGCAGCAACTGCAATGACTTACCAACCACAGAAGTAGTATACCTGCAAGAAGAAGGGTTTTTAAGTAGTAGTGCAGTTTTTATTCAAGTTTCTCTACCAGATATGGAATTTACAGATCAGTTCTACTTTATGTGTGTGAAGAACAGTCCAGAGTTAGATAAAACAAGTGGTTGGATTCATCAAGGAGATGACCCATGGATGCGTATCCAAACAGAAAGTAAGATTTTTCCTTTGTGGTTACAGATCTGTTTCATTGTAATTCTTCTGATTTTATCTGGCCTCTTTAGTGGTTTAAACCTGGGCTTAATGGCTTTAGATAAAACAGAATTGAAGGTTATTGAAAGTGTGGGTTCACCAACGGAAAAAAAATTTGCACGAATAATTTCTCCTTTGCGTTCAAGAGGAAATTACCTTCTTTGTTCTCTTCTACTTGGTAATGTGTCGGTGAACAGTAGTTTAACCATCTTATTAGATGGAATTTCGTCTGGACTAATTGCTGTTATTGGATCAACGATTGGTATTGTTATATTTGGTGAGATAATTCCTCAAGCCATTTGCTCCCGTCATGGACTGGCGGTTGGTGCTAGAACAGTAATGCTCACTAAATTCTTTATGATTGTGACATTTCCATTATCATTTCCGATCAGTAAGATCTTAGATTGGATTCTTGGTGAAGAAATAGGCAATGTGTATAATCGGGAGAAGCTTATGGAGTATATCAAAGTAACCAAGGATTATAATCAGTTAGAAAATGAAGAAGTAAATATTATTTCAGGGGCACTAGAACTGAAGAAGAAGACAGCAGCTGAAATCATGACAAAAATAGATGATGTATTCATGATTCCAATTGACAGCATTTTGAATTTTGAAACAATGTCAGAAATTTTAAAACGAGGATATACCCGCATTCCTGTTTATGATGCAGACAGAAACAATATTGTGTTTCTTCTGTTTACCAAGGATTTAGCTTTTGTTGACCCTGAAGATAATACACCTGTCAAGACCCTCTGTGAGTTCTACAATCACCCAATTAGCTATGTTTATGAAGATGAAACTCTAGATGTACTCCTGGAAGAATTCAAGAAAGGTAAACACTGATTGGAGTTTCAAAATAGATTTACCACCTATTATGAAATATTTTAAACTTATGAGGGTTTAAATAACTTTACTGTATAATATGTAGAGTAACGGGCTTAATTCAGAGCTTTGGGGAAACCAGCTTTAAGGGGGAATGAAAGTGACATATTGCTGTTAATCTTGACTTTCGCGGTCCTATTAGTTAGGAAGCTTGAGATCCATCTAATAATTGGGATAGGTGTTTTGTAGTTACATACTTTATATTTAAGGCTGTTATGCCAAACAGAGTCGAAAGCTTTACTGACATCCAGGATAACACCGACTGTTGCTTGGTTACGATTAAACCCTTTCTGTATTGATTCTGTTAATCTGGCTAAATGGTCAATTGTTTGTCGTCGTTTTCGAGACGCGTTATGAGTGTCAGAGAGGAGCTTATTGGATTCGAGAAGGAAAATCAACCTTGTTGTGATTATTTTTTCCCATTAATTTGCCTATATTGTTTAGCAAACTTATTGGTCTGTAGTTACTTGGATTATTGAGGTTGATGCTAATAACTGCATATTTCCATGTTGTTGAGAAATATCCTGATTTTAGAGACAAATTAAACATCACTATGATACGGGTGATAAGTGCATTGGAAGCGGTTTTTAATATTATGTTTCTAATGCCGTCCTCGCCGGGGGGGGGGGGTAATTTCTTAATGTGAATTTTGATTTCGGCTTTAGTGAATGGTTTTGTAATGTTGTTGTCTAAGGTTGTTAAGGTTGATGTTTACTGGAAAAGTGGAGGTGAAGGGTGAACATGTCATTGTTATTCTGAACGTAATTATTCACCATGGTATAATGATCGTTATTGAAAGTATTTGTGTTGGAAGTGGTGAATGAAAGCTGTGGAATAATAATTAATGAAAAGTTTGGCATTGTCTGTGATTACTGTGGTGTTATTATATTTTATTATGTGGTTTGTTTGAGCAGATTTGTCATTGCAAATAGTTTTGAACTTATTCCAGAACTTTGCAGGACCTTGTCTATTGTTATCTAATGATTGACAGAAGCTTTGCCAATTTTCCTTGTGCTGAGTTGCAATTAGTTTTTAATGTTGTTGTTTGTGTTATTCATTAAAGTTTTAATGCTTGTGTTTCTTGTTAGAATGAATTATCTGCGCAGGCGCCTTCTGGTATTTATTAGGTTACGTAATTCTGTAGTTAGCTGCCAGTGATTGATATTAAGATATTTCTATATAATTAGGATGGTGTTTTCGATTGCTTTGGTGATAGCATTTGTAATTTCTGCAGCGTAAGTATCGATGTCTTCTGAGCAGTTGGCTGATGTTTTAATGCCAGGTAGAAGTGAATCCGTAATTAGTTTTATGGTCCAAGTTTGATTTAATGAAGTCAAAACTTTGGGACGTGTTGTGTTGCGGGGCTTGATATTTATGGTGAATGAGATGGGGTTGTGATCACCGCCCATGTTTTCTAATACTTTAAACCTGTTTGTATGTGGGATTAACGACTGTGAAATGATTGCAAGATCGAGAACGTCTTGTGATCCGTTGTGATGTGTGTGTGTGTGTGAGTTGGCGTGTTATCCTTGATGACAAATAGATGGTTAATATCAATGAAATTGTGAAGAATGTTACCATTATGGCTTGTTTTTCGGCAATTGAATTCGGGATGTTTCGAGTTAAGGTCACCTCGTATAATTGCATGCATGTTTTGATTAATTACGGTTTGAAGAAGGTGGATATCAGGTTCTTTGCTGGGAGATATGTAAGTGACAAGTAGTGCGATTGTTGTATGATGGGGAGTGTGAATGTTAAATAACATGTATTTATTGTTTGAGTTTATTTTTAGATTCGGAAATGAAACTTTAAGATCTTTCTTAACAAGTAACATTAGCCCTTGAGAATTCTGAGATTTAGTTATATCCTTAATGTTATAGTTAGGGAATGAGAAATTACTATTAGGTGATAAAAAGGTTTCATTGATTGCTATTATATCTGCATTTAAATTTTGGTTAAGGTTAAATAGTTCGTATTTTTATCGTTTAAACCATCTTGAATGTTAATCTGTAAAAACTTAAGCATTTTACCTTGACCTAGGAGCATCGAGTTGATCCTTCTGTCGATTAAATTCGATTTCGATGACGAGGAACCCACTTTGAGACTAATAATGGCTGGAGACAGCTTGAATGGGTAATGAAGAAAAACTTTAATATAAGTTTAACATAAC